GACAGACAGAGAGACAGACAGACAGACAGACAGACAGACAGAGAGATAGACAGACAGACAGACAGAGAGACAGACAGAGAGACAGACGATAGACAGACAGACAGACAGACAGACAAAGATACATTAACTTAGAAATGATTAAACAAATTTAATGATAGCAAAATTGCTGCACACCAGATGTACATAAGTTACTGAAATTGAACATTTATTTACAGAATGTAATTATTATTATACAAGTATTAAAATATATAATAAGTTATAATGAGTTAGTATTTACTCAATATTTGCGCAGAATTCACTAAACAGGGACAGATGTTAATAGCAGCTGTAAACCGCTGTTATGAATATGAGAATATGATGTTAGGTTAAAATCACTCACTTCCTCTTTATGCTAATTAAGCTGCAGGTTAACGCTGGTTCGTGTGTTTCAGTTCTCGCGCCGCTCGCTGACCTGCGGGTGACCCCGGTGGGGCGGGGCTCCGTGCAGGTTGATTGGCGGGGACAGGGGCGGGGCTTCTGGGTGAGCTGGAGGAATGAAGATCAGCCTTCGTCATCCTCCTCTTCCTCACTGTATCTGTCCACCGTGCTGCGTCTCACAGCTGACAGTCAAACTGTGAATAAAGCATGAAGCTTTCCTCCTAATGTGCTTTATTATCTAATAAATGTCACGTGGTCAGATGTTTGTGGTGTTAATGAACAAATGTTGCTAAACTGCAAACTAACTCTCTCAGCACTGCACCGGAAACTCTTCACGAAACCTGACGTGCATGTTCAATTTAATACTTCATGTTATTTACATTTACATGTAGTTATTTTCTTTTAAATATATTTGACTCATTTTAAAGTATTTTAGTATTTAATGTCATTTCCACTTAAATGTAATTCTTTTTAGATTATGATATTTACATTTTTATTTACAGTGAAAACACATTATATAACAAATATAATGAAAAGCACAGTTTAAAAGTATTTTGTTACGTACAATATTTGGTTCATATATATGTAAATATATTAATTTGTAATGAGAGCAGTGTGAAAACTTGCCATTTATATATATATTACATAATTTTAAGCATTTTAATATTTAACATAATTTTAATTTTAATATATATATATAGTTCATTTATGTATTTACACATTCATTTGTACTGAAAAGGGTTTGAAAACGCCTTTTAAGTATATTTTAAAGTGCTCCACACGGCTCCGGGAGGTGAATAAAGGCCTTCTGAAGGGAATCAATGCGTTTGTGTAAGAAACATATCCATATATAAAACTTCATAAACCTAAATCTCTAGTTTCTGCTGACTGTCGTACGCGTGTTCATTACGCAGGCATAAAATTTATTTGGCTTTTAAAATCTCAGCACCCATTCACTACCATTATAAAGTGTGTGTGTGTGTGTGTGTGTGTGTGTGTGTGTGTGTGTGTGAGGTTCTCACAGCTGTCAATCACGTCCCTCACGTGATCTATGACCTGTGACGGATGTGTTGACCTCTTACACACAACTCATTGTACTGATTACATTTTTTTTTAAATTATGACCCAGTTTCAGCTGCATAAAAACAGTCAGTACAGTTCAGTATGAACTACTGTAAAAAAATATACTTAAAAGGCGTTTTCAAACCCTTTTCAGTACAAATGAACACGTGTAAATACATAAATGAACTATATATATTCAAATTAAAATAACTTTCATTTTTGGGTGAACTGTCCCTTTAAAGTATACACAATTTAGTTAGCAAAACAACCAGTTCATGCCTATACTGTAGTCTGTCACACAGTAATCTGAAGCCCGTTTCTGAAGTGTCCAGGCTGCCTGTCCTACATGGAGAGACGAGATCAGACAAACCTGTTCACAGCCACCAAGAAACAGACATACTACTTCTGCTGGAGGGGCCTACCCATAATGCTGTGCGCTGCAGGAACAACGGCTGTGGACAGGAAGTGGTAGATACACTGCACATCTGCATAGATTCTTACTAATTTTTCATATTTGGCATGTTTGTGTGCTGCTGCCTAACACTTTGTGTGTAATAAACAGAGTGTACGTGCGCTGTGGACCCGCCTATACTAACGCGCTCTTTAAATAACAAAAAAACTACTGCGTTAAACTAGCAAAAGTGGATTCGGACACGCCCTGAGTGCACCTGCGCCGTGCGCTTTATGCCATGCACTTAGATCGTTAAAATAGGGCCCTGTGTGTTTCTTGGCGTGATGGTTTGGCCGTAGTGGTAGTTTATTCATCAGTGCGTGAAAAACATGAACAAAATAAACACAATCTTAAATTTGTCCTTAAACATAAGTTATTCAATTTTAAACTTTTCAAAAGCATTTTGGTTTAACCATATAAATGTGGAGTTAATTTGCTTTTTTCTGAACTTTTAATTTAGGCCTACGGCTTTTCGTTTTAATTTTTGTCAATTTCTGGTGTAGGCCTAAGAAATTCTCACCTTTTATTATCATCTGTTGCCTGTGTTGTTACTGTTGTCATATTGTGCGTGATTTTAATTTAAAAACCCATTCTGGGTTCATTTAAACCCAGCAATATAGTAATTTTTGCAATAAATGTTGCAATAGTTTTAATTTTGTTTGATGACTAAATTAAATCCTCTACTTGTTTTGCTTTAAAAACATATCAATTATACAGTATATATCCACTGAGATACCAGTGTTGTATGATGTTGTATTTTATTTTCTGCGAACAGTTGGAAAGAGGTAAGCTTGCTTTAGATGGTATACAGTGTCATGCAAACTAAACATCAGAAGTAGTTATTTGGTATATTTCAGTTGAGATCAACGAATACAATACGCTTTCATAAGGTAATGCTGAATTATAAATCATAGCAGAAACTCATGACCTAACTCATTTCACAAGATTTCCATGTGTTGACCTCTTACACACAACTCATTGTACTGATTACATTTTTTTTTAAATTATGACCCAGTTTCAGCTGCATAAAAACAGTCAGTACAGTTCAGTATGAACTACTGTAAAAAAATATACTTAAAAGGCGTTTTCAAACCCTTTTCAGTACAAATGAACACGTGTAAATACATAAATGAACTATATATATTCAAATTAAAATAACTTTCATTTTTGGGTGAACTGTCCCTTTAAAGTATACACAATTTAGTTAGCAAAACAACCAGTTCATGCCTATACTGTAGTCTGTCACACAGTAATCTGAAGCCCGTTTCTGAAGTGTCCAGGCTGCCTGTCCTACATGGAGAGACGAGATCAGACAAACCTGTTCACAGCCACCAAGAAACAGACATACTACTTCTGCTGGAGGGGCCTACCCATAATGCTGTGCGCTGCAGGAACAACGGCTGTGGACAGGAAGTGGTAGATACACTGCACATCTGCATAGATTCTTACTAATTTTTCATATTTGGCATGTTTGTGTGCTGCTGCCTAACACTTTGTGTGTAATAAACAGAGTGTACGTGCGCTGTGGACCCGCCTATACTAACGCGCTCTTTAAATAACAAAAAAACTACTGCGTTAAACTAGCAAAAGTGGATTCGGACACGCCCTGAGTGCACCTGCGCCGTGCGCTTTATGCCATGCACTTAGATCGTTAAAATAGGGCCCTGTGTGTTTCTTGGCGTGATGGTTTGGCCGTAGTGGTAGTTTATTCATCAGTGCGTGAAAAACATGAACAAAATAAACACAATCTTAAATTTGTCCTTAAACATAAGTTATTCAATTTTAAACTTTTCAAAAGCATTTTGGTTTAACCATATAAATGTGGAGTTAATTTGCTTTTTTCTGAACTTTTAATTTAGGCCTACGGCTTTTCGTTTTAATTTTTGTCAATTTCTGGTGTAGGCCTAAGAAATTCTCACCTTTTATTATCATCTGTTGCCTGTGTTGTTACTGTTGTCATATTGTGCGTGATTTTAATTTAAAAACCCATTCTGGGTTCATTTAAACCCAGCAATATAGTAATTTTTGCAATAAATGTTGCAATAGTTTTAATTTTGTTTGATGACTAAATTAAATCCTCTACTTGTTTTGCTTTAAAAACATATCAATTATACAGTATATATCCACTGAGATACCAGTGTTGTATGATGTTGTATTTTATTTTCTGCGAACAGTTGGAAAGAGGTAAGCTTGCTTTAGATGGTATACAGTGTCATGCAAACTAAACATCAGAAGTAGTTATTTGGTATATTTCAGTTGAGATCAACGAATACAATACGCTTTCATAAGGTAATGCTGAATTATAAATCATAGCAGAAACTCATGACCTAACTCATTTCACAAGATTTCCATTTTTTTTATTGTTCATTGATTTCATGCATCCTTTAATAATAGAATATGTACCCAGTGGTTAAAAAATACCTTGGCCTATAATATAATATCAGTGTATTATTATAAAAAGTGTATTTTCTGGCTAAATCACTGCCAAATGTAAGATTGTTGTTTAGCATAATAGATCATACATACCAGGTAATATTAAAATAGGTGCCCCTCAAAATACTTACAAATGATTTGTAATTTTCCAGGTTGTTACCCCTTTATTCCCCAAACTTCGCATATTGGTACTGTATAGGTACACTATAATTACAAAGAAAGGTATGCTGTAAATTCTGTTTACTTACGCTGTGCATACTGTTTATGTACTTCAATACTGAGGTGCAAATATCTGCCACTGTGTGCACTAAGCGTAAATAACATCTAATCACTATTACACTAACTGCAAAGAAAATACTATTTTACGTAGTGTAAATAGAATCAATCGTTATTTGCTCTTACTGTAAATAGCATCTGTCACTAGTATTTGCACTTAATGCAAATAACCACTGCCTTCGAATTAAATCCCCAGCAGAAGAGCTGCGTGTCTGCAAGCAACACAGTGCTGTTTAGTTCCTGAATGAATCAGTCCTTTTGAACGAATCATTTATTTTCCCCCCATAATTTCATATTTCTATATTCAAAATGTTATTTTTAAAACTTTAATCTCATAGCATTATTTGTGCATTTATAATTGCTTTAAATGCATTCATGCCACCCATTTTTATTTAGAGGTGGTTAACATAAAAACAAGACGCCCCTAACCTTAAGTATTCCAAATAACTTACTAAACTAGAGATACACAATCTAACGAGATACATTACAAATGACTTTTTAAAGCATGTATTTTGCAATGTGTAGTGAAACACATTTTAAAAGTAACTTTCCCAACCTGGGTTATAAGCTGATGTGGCCCAAATCAGAATCGGAAAGATCCGAATTTTCAACATGTCAAGTCAAGTCACCTTTATTTGTATAGCGCTTTATGAAATACTGTTCAATGTCACACAGTATAGACATTGTATAATATTTAACAGATCAGCAGTTCCTGTATACTCCAATATGAATATATATAGAAAAAAACATGATTCACGTTTTAATGATATTTCTAACATCTGAATCACACAAAGTTTTGTCTCTGTTCTTCATGATACTTTAAATCTTTCTTACGCTGACAAACAGAGTTACTTCTGCCAACTTGAGAGCAATTCTCTAGTACACTCATGTAGTTTCCTCTCTCTTCTCTGTCTCTCAATGATTTGATTACAAATTTCTTTTACTGGCTTTTTCCTTTTTATGCATGCTCTTAGTTTTCTCGTGCTTTCTTTTCTGTGGTTTCTTGGCATCATCATAATGTGGCCTTTGGTTCTCATTCTGATCTACAATCTTTAGCAATTTGGTAACAAGTTCTTTCACCTGGACATGCAAGTCCGCATTAATGTCAAGAACATGATTATTATTTATGCCTGCATAACACTGCATTGCATTTTCTTTGCTGCTTTCTGTGGGATGACCCTTACTGGTGAAGACAATCATAATATATTCACTGGCTGCAAATGGCCTATAGATTTCTTTAAGATGCCTGTAGATTTCTTCAAATGCTTCAAAATCTTCCTCGTTATTCCCTAATCGGGCCACCCAAAGGACCACGTGGGGACCAGGGCTGCACATTTCAAGAGAATCTCTAATGGTTTCAGCGTGCTGCAGCTGCGATTCACCAGAGAACCGAGCATCACTCACAATCATCTCTGCCAGAGTCTTTTTGTAAGTCTCTGGTCTGCTCAGTACAAGGATCCTCAGACGCCCCGTTACAGCAGACACTGAGAAAATATCCGTCTATCATGAGCATCTCAATCAAACACTGGCATATATTAAGTGGTTAAGAATCTGCAAGAAATATTTGTATAAGGCACCACTATTAAAACAAAAATTGTTCATATTTGCTATTTAGCTACCAAGCAACACTCTTGAAACAAAGGTGCTTCACAGTGATGCCATAGAAGAACCTTTTTGTCTATATGGTTCCATAAAGATCCTGTAACATCTGGTTCTTTGTGGCGAAAGAAGGTTCTTCAGATTATAAGAAGGTAAGAAAGAGATGGTTCTTTGACTGAATGCTTCTTTGTGGAACCAAAAACGGTTCTTCTATGGCATCGCTGTAAAGAACCTTTTGAAGCAGCTTTATTTTTAAGAGTGAAGGAAAAGCAAAAGGAATTCACTGCAAAACATGATTTTCTTCCTCAGTAATTTTGTCTAGTTTTCTATTACAAATATCTAAACATTTTTGAAACGAGATACATTTACTTGAGAAGCCAAATGACTTAAGATATGAAGTCTTGTTTTCTGAAATTTTTTTTGTTTATGATTAAAACGAGAAAAATGATCTGGTTTTTCCTTTGAATTAAGATGATTTTTCTGACCCCACTGGCTGATATTTTTCATAAACTAACAAAAACATTTTTTTCAGAAAATAAGACTACATATCTTGAGTCATTTGGCTTCTTAAGTATCTTGATCCAATGTTAAAATGGTGTTTAAATAGTCGGACTAGAAAACAAGACAAAAATATTAACAATTTGATTAAAAAGACCATGCCTTCTGAATTCTTTGTAGGTTCTTTAGAATCTCTTCAAATCAATAATCTTCGTGTTTATAATAACATCGCTAATAAAATCAAATAAATTGTCAGTTGGCTTCTCCATCCTTACCTTCCAGTTGTGGTTTATTATGAGCTCCACCACACTGCTGAAAAAGAAGTTAAAAAAATTATTATTTCCAGTCATTCGATATGTCCCTTAACAAGTGTTTCTGCATTTCTGTTAAATGATAAATCAACTCAGATTCCATCACCTCTGCTCTGCCTGTTTCCACTGGTTCAGTAGTTTTCGTTTTGGGCTCTTCTTCGTGCTCCACCCGTGCAACTGACGAAGCTATAAAAGCACAAAAATCAGACACGGATGTTGCTTTATTAAGTCATTTATGTTGGCCTAACCATGCTGAACAACCATGCAGGTTTTGGATGAAGTGTAATGCTTTTATGTGTTCCTGACGAAATTCACCTTATATAAAACATGGATTGAAATGAACAATACAATGTCTCTGTGCTACAAGGCAAATTTCATGAAATCTGAAGTATACCAAGAGCCTCATCAGCCACACTGTAATGTGTGGGAGGTAAAGCAAGCAGGCAGGGATGTAGACCTAGATGCAGAGTTTAATGAAAGTGTGTAGAAACAGCAGCCAATACATTCAACAACTGACAGCACAAGGGAAACACAAGGACTGTATACACACAAAGGGGATCAGAAGATCACGCCTGGGAGACGAATCAAAGGGAAAAACTACAAACTCACTACAGGAAACAGGAACACACCATACAACATAAAAGTCCAGCACAAAACATCATGCATTGACATGATTCTGACCAAGCCTGAAGTGGTTTGGGTAAATGTAGAAGGATTATTGTAGAAGGACTCACATGGCGCTGTGCTCCTCTGCAGCAGTGCTTCAGTTCTGGGATCCGTCAGAGTGCTGTGAGAATTCTGGGTTTCCTTCCTCATCTGAGAAACTGGAGGACTGTCGACTGTGGAGAAAACCGTGTCTTTGGACAACTACACTAAATTCAGTGACAATCAGAAGAATCTCTTTAGTAGGAGTATTTGAAATGCATGCACTATTTAAAAAACCCTTAATAGCTGACTTCCTGTTGGGTGAGCTAATGACTGTCAGTGTGAAACTTGTTTGACTTAGTGAAAACAACATATGTGCCAAGTTTCACACATTTATGTACTTGTATGTACGATATATGCACCATTTGCACTCTGATGTGCGTGCAAATTTTCAAGAGTTTTTGAGCATGTTAAAATTTAAAAACAAACAAATAAATTTACAATGTGGTCCTTTGTACTTGCAGGGCCCTAATAAAATAATGAGTAAGAACAAAAATAATTTAGACAGTGCATATGCAATAGCATGTTTTACTGTCAGTGTACCAGCCTTTGTTCAACACAAGAGAATCTCAGGTTAAATGCAAAATTGTGAATGTACTCACGTTTCCGGTACAAGAGCAAGTAAGCTTCCCTAGACCTACATTAAAAGATTAAAAACTGCAGTTACTTTGTAAGTTAATTATGTGATATGATATGCATTCATTCATAGTTGATTAAGAGTCATTTGACATTACTGGCATTTACCTTTCCAGTTTGCTCTCATCGATCTGAAGGAAATCACAAGAGCACAGCTCAGTGATATAAAGCACCAGTGGTATTTATAATTTAAGTCTTAAATATATAATAATAACACATTACCTCTGTGACATGACTGTCATCAAAAGAGTACCACGTGTTCTCTGTGAAAGATCGGATGTCAGCAGTGTAGTGACCCCCGTAACGGCTCCCCCTGTGGTTGATCACGGCATAGAGACAATATTCCTGCTCCTGAAACAACATCAAGCAGGGTTTAGCACTAAAGACTGAGATTCACGGATGTTAAAACTTACATCTGGCTGTATTCTCTAATACTTTTTATGTGTTGGTCAAGCTTGATATAACTTCATCCTATCATAGCCAAATAAAAGGGTCTATCGTGTGGTGTTTAGGGTGGTTACATACCCCAAGAGATAAATGAAGCGGTACATCCACGGGGCAATCATTCTTCACAAACCCACATGACCAATAGTCGTACACAAACCTTTTCAGGTGCAAAGGCAGTATTGTTGGATACTCGTGTATTTCACAACTCTGTGTAAAATAGCAATGCAAACCTGTAAAGCTGCTTTGGAAGAACTTGCATTGTGAAAAGCGTTATACAAATATAACTGAATAGAATGCACCACTTTGAGCACTATACCAGCTTTGGAAAAATTGGGCTTTTAAACGTACACCGACAGCAGCAAAAATGAATTTTACCCATGTTGTATCACTTTTCTCATCGCAGGTTTCACAGTACATCTGGTCATCTCCATCTAATATTGTAGATGCAAAATATGATTGAACCCCATCTTCCTGAAATCAAAATAAAACGGTTTATGATGACCTGCGCACAAGCCTCTGTTTGGCACACAATTATGGAAGCCCGTTTCCGCCACTGAGTGAAAAAATAAAACAAGCTAATTGCAACTGTTTTCATGCAATTCTGACTTTTTTTTCTCAGAATTATATCTGGCGGTTTTGACTTCATAACACACAATTGTGAGATATAAATTCAGAATTGAGAGAAATTAACTCACAAGCGTAAAAATTGGGCGTAAATCGCAAATGCAAATTGTGAGAAAAAACGTCGCAATTACCTCGATTTATTATTTATGCGGTGGCGGAAATGGCCTTCCATACATAATCATGAATACAGAAGCTCACTGAATTTAGCCTTACTAGTCTGTACGGTCCATCTGTGCTGTTCAGAGCGATCTGTAGTGACTTGAACGAGCTGTCATCATGAGACTCGTGATTTTCTGCACATTTTCTGTTGTTCCTCATAGTTCCACTAAAGACCTGTTTCAGTTAAAAGAGTCACAGAGCAAACACTGCACAGGACCTTCTTCACTGTTTAACAAGCAAACGTTCTGTTATTTTTCTGCATTGTTACATATTGAAAAGAAATAAGCTACCTCGGCCAAATCAGGGCCTACTTTCTCTAGGATATCTAGGAAGTATTCCACAGCATCCTGCTGCTCATATACTGAAATTAAAGTGAAAATACAACACACTTCATACACACAAACAGTGCGGTTACAATGAAGGATTTCATTCAATTGCGCCCATCATAAACGTACTTCTCTGTATACCGAGAGCCTTGATTATTCCTTCCGTTGAGATGCTCTGAGCACCCCTGACCTGATTGCTGAGCTCTTTAAATAGTTCCTTTAATGCTGACTCTAATTTCTCACTTGTGTCACCAGGAGTTCTAAAAGAATAGACAACAACTGTTTTTCATTTCAGCACGATTTTTCATTAGACACATGAAAAAGACAAGAAGATGAAACCAACAGCAGCAGCACTCTCTCTCTGAACGCTTGGGTCATGAAGAGCACCTGCAAGGTTGCATTCAGATAGCACGTTGCACCTAGATTGAGCAAACCTCTGTATGGACCTAAAGAGAGGCAGCAGATGCTTAAAACAAATTCATGATATATTTACTAAATCTAATTCATGAACATTGGCCTCTAATCGATAGAAGCATCTCATTGTACTATAATTCCTTTGCACTTTCATGTTATGCATAAAGCACACTATTTAAGGGTTTTTAATTTCATATTTAAATGACCTTTTTTTTCTCTCTGATGTTTTGAGAAAGTATCTCAACTCACAAGGATCTTGGTTTGCTGTCAGCCTGTGAGAGACTGATGATCTGTCAACTAGATCCTTTATTTTCATCTTTTCCGTGTCATTTGCCAACTGATTTACTGCATCTGAATTGCCTGCAGAGAGACACAACTTTCAGCAATAAACTCCAGTTCAAACTTGACCTCTCAGTACCACATTTGGATTGAATTATTGTAAAACCGAATCTAATATGTTTTGTAAAAAGAAAAAAAAGACAAGAAAATATACACAATATTCATATGCAACTGTAGTAACAATTATCCTGTGGAAGTGTGTACCTGAAGCTAAGGACTGCAGAGCAGTTGACCCAGTGCTGGGTGTTTGAGACTGAGCCTCACTGAAGGCAAAACTGCTGTTATTAGATGCAGGAGAAATCATTATATATATTAATGTAACACACAATTACATCTGGAAACATATACATAATGTATACATAACATATACATAATCTAACACACACACACACACATATATATATATATATATGTGTGTGTAAGAAGATTAATAACTGCATCAATATGGCCTTACCTTTGTCTTAGAAGTGGCCATGAGGAACATCTCTTCAGTTTTTTAACAACAGAGTCCTGGTTGAGAGATCTTCAAATATTTGAAGGTATACACTGTAAGATTCTACTGCATTGACCATCAGTAAACAATCAACATGGCAGTTTACTCTAGTCATGTTTTAGATGTGTGTCTAGTGAATTATAATAGACACTTACTGCTTCAGCACAGCTGTATCTACTTTGGTCTTCATTTCATCTACAAAATAAGGAATAAAATCACTTTCAACATACCAGTGGTGTTTCTACAGAAAGCAATAATGAACAACTATTAAATCAGCTACCATCAGGCACGAATATATATATATATATATATATATATACATGTAATTGTGTAATAGTGTAATGTATAGTGAAATATTTATATATTTTTTTTGTTACCTGAATCTAAGGACTGTGCTGGAGAAGGTTGCTGAGTGCAGGGATGAAATTACCGTATAGTGTAATGTATAGTGAAATATTTATATATTTTTTTTGTTACCTGAATCTAAGGACTGTGCTGGAGAAGGTTGCTGAGTGCAGGGATGAAATTACCAAGTTTACAAAACAGCCAACGAAAGCCAGCATATGCATAAGATCTATAAAGATAAAGCGTCAATATGAACTTTATGAGTAGCCACATGTGACTTATTTTCAGTGGAATGACATCATAGTTGAGAGCCCTTAAAATAGCTAATAAACAACATAAGAATCTGTTATCGGGCATTGAACATTTTCACTGCAAAGTGTGACTTTGTTTTAGATGAGTTTAGTTACCATCGAGAAAAACGCTTAAAGAACACTCACCTCACACACAGCACGGACAGAAACAACTATACTAAAAAAAGAGTAGACATTTCAATAAGGTTTCGTCACTATGCTTCATGTAACTCACCAGTATCAACAGATCCTCAATGTGCAAATCGAAACTACAGCTGGACCTGTAACTTAGAAATACAATAGTTTCAGTAATTAACAAACACACCCGTCAGCTAATGTTTAAAGTATGTGCTTTATTCCTCCCTCGCATGGAATGTCCTCAGTCCAAAACATCTTTTGTTAGATAAACGAAAGCAAAAATGCAGCGAAGTGAAAACATTTCCAATGAAGACATTCAGCTTTCACTTTCACGAAAATGCTCTCTTGACATCAAGGAGGGACAAAATCCTCAGTAGAGGACGGATTATTTAACTGCTTATTGTTTGCTGACAGAGAATACACACCCATGCTACTAAAAAATACCGTTTAGTATGTTCCCCAAAGCGATGTCTCAGAAACATGCACCTTATGCCAGCCGACCTCTTCAGAACTGAAAGTGTAAAGCCCAGACTCCCAATAAGGACTCAAAAGCACACCCTAGGGTTAAGACCATCTTAACCTATACCGGAGTAACACCTGTTCCCAAATCAGCTCGTTTACCTTACGAAAATTACCATTATTTTACTACAAATAAAATAAACAAAACAAAACATGGTTACTATAGTTAAACCATGGCAACCACAAATTAACCATAGTTTTGCCTCACTAACCACAGTTTTATTTGTAGTAAAACTGTAGTTATACAGATAAATACGGCAAAAAAACGGTCACTACACTTCTAATACAATGAAACCAATGCAGCCAATTCGTGCGACCTCACTTGTACGCTTTTGTACACTGTAAAAAAAATTCCGTAAAATTTACGGTAAAAAAACGGCAGCTGTGGTTGCCGGAATTTTACTGTAAAAAATACGGTAGCAACGTTTTAGGTTTTACGGTTTTAACTTAAATTTACAGTTAAATACCGTAATTTCATTAACTGAAATAATGTTAATATACCAACCTATTGAAGTACTGAAATCTGTTTTGTATCTTTATAATACACTGAGAACCACCAAATGCAGGAGGTGATGAGAAAGTCACATGATGAACCAAAGCCCATCACAAGCAGCTTTTAAATACTAACACATATAGAAGGTGCACAGTGTGATTCACACAAACACTAAACACCATCACGGTAACACACATGAAACTGAAATAATGCAATAAACATTCATTTAACAACATTAGGTGTAACACACAACCCAATATACAAAACTGATAAGAAAAAAACTAAGAAACAGTTATTTCAACAAAAAAAACATCAAATTTGAAATGTAACGCAGGGAATTCTGGGAATGTCAGTTTACGGTTATTCACTGTAAATTATACGGTCTTTTTCACTTCCAAAAACGGTATACTTCCGTAAAATTACATGTAATGTCCAATACAGTTTTTCACCGTATATAGTTGGGGAATTTACCGTTAACCATTTAACAGGTTTTTACTGTAGCATTTTTACAGTCTTTTACCGTTAAATTCGCGGTCATTTTTTACAGTGTACGATTTCTGGGACGGTTAACTTTAGGGGCGGGGTTAGGTGTGGTTCTTTGTACAAATTTGCCACGTCGTAAAATACGTACGATTTTTCTCAAATCGTATGAATTTGTACGAGTGAGGTCGTATGAATTCGTACAAATTAGCCACCTTGTCAAATATGTACGAATTGTCGTGAGATTGTGTTGATAAAACCATGGTTAATTTTCTTAAGGGTAGCCTATAAGTGGAACTTATATAGAAACCGGTCTCCAGAAATGTGTCTCCCAAGCATAAAAACACAATCAAACATCAAAATTACTTTTGGTTTCATTCTTTTTTTATTGAGGCACTTAAAAGTTATTAAACATGACTAGTAAAATAATTAATTATGGCGTTTGAAAACAGGGTTTAGTAACTTCTTTCACAGGCCTATTCCCAAGGTGGGACCCCGGGCACTGTGGGTTGTGTCCCTTAATTAACACAACAGATCCAGCTCATTATATCAGTGACATGAAGTGGGTGTGACAGATGAAACACTGTGTTGAGAAACATTTGATTTATTTCTCCCAAAAGCATTTATTTAACCCTATACAAAAAGATCACAAAATCGATTAGGAAGGAAATACAAGAAAAATGTCATTGCATAGCTCACCCGAGTAAACATTTTTTCATCTGCCTAATTGGTTACAAGATATTCAGATCATTTCAAGTGTTTCTTTCATCCTGGCAACAGAATCAATCATCAAGACTTTAAATTGTTTCATTGGTCAAGATATGTTAAAATCCAGATTTATACCTAGGTGTGACTGTTGGTAAATTTAGAAATTGATAGCAACATAAAAGAAAGGGCTTTTAACAGTATAATGGGTTCTTCAATCTCAGAGGGAAATCATAAAGTCTATATTTGTAGTTCTTTGAAGACACATGAAGGATGAATATACAGCACACTTGTCTTGAGCCTGACGACTTTTGGTTCATCTTCCACCCGGCAAACGAATTATGATGCAGATAATGGCTTTATCCTTGATCCCATGGTCAGAGAACTTGTCGGTGTCATTTAGTTGTTTACTGGTGTAGAGTAATCGTAATGCAGACGGGTCTGTGAGAATTAAATTAAACATTTAGTTGTGGCAACAATTACACTTCAGCTGAAACATAGGCTACAACAATGTATATGATTCAACTCTATTGCTCCTCTGAATCAACCAAACTTGTATATTCATAGTACTTATATAGTCACTGTACCTGATGCCTCCTGTGGCAGTTTCTCAGCAAGCTTTTTTTTGAATTTCTCCACCGTCATGTTATTGAATTCTTCCTCCGAATTGGCGACGTCTATAGTTTTCTTCTCGCCTTGCATCCCGATCACAGACACTTGATAGGTTCTCCCCATATCTCACCGACACACAGACTGATGTGAAGCGTGGCACACTTTCTGTTTTTGCCTGCATGTGAACAAAGCAAGTTTTGAAGGAGTGCACGGTATCAAAGTGAAAGACCCTCTGATAAGAGCCCTTGACGGGAAAGAGTATGATTTCTCCGAAGTGCTTGCAAAACAGAAAATAAAAGGACAGTTTGTTATATCGAAGACAGTGGCGCAATTCATACCATTATGTACTTGCCTTTTATTTGTATATGTATTCTTTAACTTAAACTTTTATCTTTAATCGAGGAAAATTATTTTTCTTTAAAGGTTTCATATTTCATTGTTATCAAAACATCCGCATGACTGAGTGGTGCTTTCACTTTCTTATTTTCTGAACTGAAAGTGAATGCATTATTGGTTCACTTCACAGGTAAGATATTGATCCACTTTCCAACTTTCTCATTCGTGCTTGTAGTTATTCCAGACGAACTGAACAAAGAGACTTCATCGAGATGGAAGACAACCAAAGCAGTGGACAGTACGACGTGAATGATGCGACGCTGAAATTTGTCAAACGGAGAGACGACATAAGTAGGTTTCTTCCCCCAACATCTCTGTAGCAGGGAGTTTATGGGCAATTAATCTCTTGAAGGTTAAAACAATACTCAGAGATATTAAAATTAGAAACTTAGAAAAATGGACAGCTATTGGGTCATATGCCATTGATTTACACAAAACTTTGTGTTTTAGTGTTTTCAGTGCAACTGCTGACTCTGTGTTGTGACTCTTAGCTTTAGATGATGACCCCAACATTCTGAGAGCAGAGATGTCTTGTGGCCATGCAGTGTCCCCTCAATCGCTGACTGCCTGGTGTCGCAGTTTGCTGGACCAGGTGGGTCAGAAATTCTCTATGCAAAAAAAAAACAAAAAAAGTAGGCTAATCATCATTGTCCTCATATCAGTTTATGTTGGTCTGTATGCCCAGATAGTTCAATCTGAAAGCAAACTTTGTAAATTGTAATGCTACTGTGTGCCTTTATCTGGCTAAAGAAATCATTCACAAGCTTCTGAGTGTTTATCTATGATTAATGTCAGCTCTGGGTGAAAGGAGCGTTACATGCTGTTTCACACTTCAAACTGCCTTGACAAATGGATGGACCCTCAGTCAACAAAAAGAGGCTCTTTGAGAAGTGGTCTTTGTCACATTGCCAAACTAAGACAGACATATTTGCTTCTCATTAAATAACGTTAGCATTCATGACAATTATCAGTAACTTGGAGGCAGAGCTCAGCATCCAGAAGACTGGCATCCAAGGTTTTTTTAGGCTAGTTTAAAAAAAAAACTCGTTCACAAGAATATGTGCCTGTACTTTCTACTGGTACCTAGGCATGCTTTTAACCGGTTTTAACCGTTAAAGAATTTTGACCGATTATTACAATCAGTTAAACGGTTTAAAAAGTCATTTATTTATTTTATTTTTTTTCCAGTAATTTATCAAAATATTTTAAAAGGTTTGCTGAATTTCATTCAGAAATAGGCCTATAATGCCAACACGAAATGTTTACAAACATTATAACAAACACTGTAAACATAGCTAGGCTATTTTAGTTCCCCTCACTCCACAACAAATCATTTCAATTTAACAGTAGCCTATTTAGAAAAGAACAAGAATTAAAAATATAAGAAGCTATAAATGACAAGCCGAAACAAATTTATTTAGGCTAAAACGAAACCGAAACCACCGTTGGGTCTCTCATTCGACACAAAATCAAATGTTTCCGTAATCGCGATGTATTTGAATGGCAAATTATTATTTATTATGTACTTCACTCGCGTTCCAATATCCACGTAAAACAAAATGTTGTATATATATATATAATGTTTTTCTCTGCTCGCAGAAGCGCTGCAGGTGCATGTGAAATGATATGACCATGTCTATCCTCATACTGTTGTCTGCTACTTTTTGTGCATGTAAAATTAATCCCCGCAAAACAAATGTTAGCATTTTTAATGGGTCACAGACACTTATCCTTTCTAATTTAATTCAATTCTAATTTAAAATAACCTTGTCGGTTAACGGTTAATAATCGGTTAACGAGCGTCGGTTGTCGGTTAGGAAAAATAACCGAAATGAACATCC